TTCATAGAATATATATTTTATTCACATGTAGTCCATATAGTTATTTATCATTTCTTGGTGATTATAAGGAAATATATATATTTCATAAGACTGACATTTATGTTTGTGTCATTGTCTTTATTTTGAATACATATACATTTTTTTTAATATGTGGAAGACATAATCACGTTCAGGAATCCATGGTATGTCTGGAGTTTTTGTTGTTTTGATTTTGATAAAAATTCTTTTTAACCCAAAGACTAAGTTGACATATATATACTACTCAAAAGAAGTTAGGGAACACTGATATGTTTGCACTTAAAATCAAAAAGGAACAGAAAACGAAGACGTGTAGTAAATTCAATAATGACCGAGTATACAGTAAGAAAGAATCATGAACAATCCACTACATTTCATAACCTGAACAGGTGTTGATGTCAATGTCACTGGGGTCAAAATTTGAAATCCAGGCCATGAGAGAAAAGTAAGTAACGAGTGTGTCCGACCCTAGCAGCCACACATGCAACACAACGACGCCTCATGGATGTCACTCATGTCTGTAGTGTGTTCTGTGGGATAGCATGCCACTCCAAACTCAGCCATTAAGCAAGCTGGCGCAGATCTTGAGGTGGAGGGTGGTTCTCCCTAAAACGTCTCGTTAACAGATCCCATACGTGTTCAATGGGTGCCATTTCAGGAGAATGTACTGGCCATTTCATGTGAGTAACATTGTTTTGTTCCAGAAAGTCAGTGACTATGCGTGCACGATGAGGTCTAGCATTGTCATCCTGGAAAACCGCCTGTGGGCCTATTCGATGAAGACAAGGAATCACCATTGGTCTCAGAATCTCATCCCTGTAGCGAACAGCATTCAAATTCCCAGTGATGACATACAGATTGGATCTGTGATGAAATGAGAAGTCGGCCCACACCATGATACTACCACCACCAAAATGATTGTGCTCACGGACGTTGACGTCAACAAAACGTTCCCCACGCCGTCTGTAGACAAGAACACGATGTCATTATGCTGCAGTGAGAACCAAGATTCGTCAGAAAAAAAGAACTGCTGACCACTGTTGTCTTGTCTACTGTCGGTGTTGCCGTGCCCATGATTCTCTGGCTGCTCTGTGACGCGGAAGAAGAAGCGGTCTAACGGCTTGACGTCGGGGTCTGTTGTTTCTTTCCCTCATACGGTTTCTTATGGTTTGGTCACTGACATTTGTTCCTGTAGCAGCCCTCAGTTGCCTTCGAAGATGGTTTGCTGTGACTGTTCTCCTCCTCAATGCTTCAACAACAACGTACCGGTCTTCTCTTCCTGTTGTCACACGAGGGCGTCCTGACCTTGGTCTATCCCGTACTGTCTGTGTTTGTTGGAATCGCTGACGTAATCTGCAAATGACAGATGGACTAACATTTAACCTTCGAGCAGCTTTCCGATGTGAAACATTCTCATTTAGCCACCCAATAGCTCTGGCTCGTTCTTCAATCGTGAGGTGTCGACGTTGTTGCACGTTGAACACAGTGATGCAGTTTCATAGCGACCTGCCTTTATCAACACAAATTTTGCACAGAAATTCCTTGTGGCTCATGCTTCATGAGAATAAGTGAGCAAATGCACGATCTCCATTTTTACAGCAGCTGTGAAGAGGAGATTACAACAGAAATTTCCATGAAAATGAGTGCAGGTCAAAATGATCGTTGACGAGCCCAGTATGATTTAAATTCTTTGTTCTGGTCATGAAGTCACTTGAGTAAGGGTAGTCTTCAATATCAGTATGTTAGCCGCCGATCAGGAGGCCATTTACCAAATTAAAAAGGAATCGAATGAACAGTGCTACAAAATATCAGTGTTCCCTAAATTGTTTTGATGAGCATATTATGTGAGGGTATTTTTCATGTAAAAATTGTTGATATTGATGGAATTTTAAAATAGTTTTTGTTAAATTATTATGAAGTAGGGTTTTACGTATAACTAATCAAGACAAGTGAGCACAAGCACAACCATATAGGTCACTGTTGATAGGGGTAAAAAGTCATATGATATTAACTGATTATCTTTGGACTGTTGAACTGATTATCCTTCCATCCTTTCCCTTGATGAGGAATATCTGAGACATAGTTGTAATGATAACATGATCTCAACAAACAAACCAGCATCAAGTTTTTTCTATCCTTGCCATTGTGAGCAATATCTCAGACAAAGCTGTGATCAGAACATGACTTTGAACAAACAAACCGGCACCAAGTTTCTTCCATCCTTGCCATTGTGAGCAATATCTCAGACAAAGCTGTGATCAGAACATGACTTTGAACAAACAAACGGCAGCCAGTTTCTTCCATCCTTGCCATTGTGAGCAATATCTCAGACAAAGCTGTGATGAGAACATGACTTTGAACAAACAAACCAGCATCAAGTTTCTTCCATCCTTGCCATTGTTAGCAATATCTCAGACAAAGCTGTGATCAGAACATGACTTTGAACAAACAAACCGGCAGCCAGTTCCTTCCATCCTTGCCATGATGAGGAATATCTCAGACAAAGCTGTGATGAGAACATGACTTTGAACAAACAAACCGGCAGCCAGTTTCTTCCATCCTTGCCATTGTGAGCAATATCTCAGACAAAGCTGTGATCAGAACATGACTTTGACCAAACAAACCGGCAGCCAGTTCCTTCCATCCTTGCCATGATGAGGAATATCTCAGACAAAGCTGTGATGAGAACATGACTTTGAACAAACAAACCGGCAGCCAGTTCCTTCCATCCTTGCCATGATGAGGAATATCTCAGACAAAGCTGTGATCAGAACATGACTTTGACCAAACAAACCGGCAGCCAGTTCCTTCCATCCTTGCCATGATGAGGAATATCTCAGACAAAGCTGTGATCAGAACATGACTTTGAACAAACAAACCGGCAGCCAGTGTCTTCCATCCTTGCCATGATGAGGAATATCTCAGACAAAGCTGTGATGAGAACATGACTTTGAACAAACAAACTGGCAGCCAGTTCCTTCCATCCTTGCCATGATGAGGAATATCTCAGACAAAGCTGTGATCAGAACATGACTTTGAACAAACAAACTGGCAGCCAGTTTCTTCCATCCTTGCCATTGTGAGCAATATCTCAGACAAAGCTGTGATCAGAACATGACTTTAAACAAACAAACCAGCATCAAGTTTCTTCCATCATTGCCATTGTGAGCAATATTTCAGACAAAGCTGTGATCAGAACATGACTTTGAACAAACAAACCGGCAGCCAGTTCCTTCCATCCTTGCCATGATGAGGAATATCTCAGACAAAGCTGTGATCAGAACATGACTTTGACCAAACAAACCGGCAGCCAGTTTCTTCCATCCTTGCCATTGTGAGGAATATCTCAGACAAAGCTGTGATGAGAACATGACTTTGAACAAACGAACTGGCAGCCAGTTCCTTCCATCCTTGCCATGATGAGGAATATCTCAGACAAAGCTGTGATGAGAACATGACTTTGAACAAACAAACCGGCATCAAGTTTCTTCCATCCTTGCCATTGTGAGCAATATCTCAGACAAAGCTGTGATCAGAACATGACTTTGAACAAACAAACCGGCAGCCAGTTTCTTCCATCCTTGCCATGATGAATACTATCTCAGACATAGTTGTGATGAGAACATGGCTTTAAACTGACAAACCAATAGTCAGTTCATGCCTTTTGATATGGTTTGTTTTACTTTTGACCTTTTTTAAAATGTCAAATAATGAAGTCTTCTTTATGACAGGTGTACTTGTATATATTCAATATCCACATAACTGACTTTGGTTGCAGCGGAGGAGGATCGAGGTGAGATGTGACTTGGACTTGGTGTTCTCTTCAATGTGTTCTGTTTATATGTTCTGTCATTCCATGAGAAAACTTGACAGCTGAGAAGCAGTGTGTTGTTACTTTGTTACTCTCTACTAACATGTTCTCCCTGAATACTGTTTTCTAATTACAAAGAAATGCCCATGGTAGTCCTTATGAATAATGAATAGTTATTATTCATATTTACTTAAAAAGTTTTAGTCTGTTTTTAGCTGACAAGTGCTGTAAGGGAGCTTTAACTTACATCCAAATTTGGAAGCTGGGCATCAAGTGTTTTCTTTTAAATGTGATGTTTGCTGAGCACTTTTCATGTCACGTCTGTCTTTTCTGGGTTTTTAAGATGTGGATTTACTTTCTGCAGTTTTTGTTTGATGAGAGGATTCACCTGTATTTTTGTTTTTTAACGATTTCAAACAAATATCTCACACTTCCTGACCACAATAAACAGGCCTCGACTTTATCTAAATCTAATGCCCTGACCAATTATCTACATAATTTTACCTAGAGCTTTTTTGTCATATATGTTATATATAATTTAATCCTCTATTGAACAAAGATCTTTGGGAAGTGACATTCAATCAGGTATCTGCATGTTGATCCTATAGAAATGTGAATCACAGGTTTCTGATTCGTGACTTGTGTATAACCTATCATTATAGCATTTGTTTTGGAAGATTTCTGCATGTGAATGACTGTAAAAGAGGTTTATTATGGTCAGTGCTGTTTCTCTCTTTATTGGATGACTCAGTCATACCATGGGTGTAAAATACAAACATGCTACAAGGCACACGTATGTGTTTTAAGATCAGTGTTACCTGATGTCCATTACCATATCCATACCTTGCCATGACAATAACTTTGTTGTCTGTCACAGTACTGACTTAAGATAAGGTATTAAGGAGTGAACAAAACTTGCTGTAATCTAGAATGATGCTATATTTTAAAAACATTTTCCGAATAATATGTGTTGCACAACCTTGCATGTGTCATTACATCTGGAAAAGAGGGCATGTGTCAATGTTTTTTTCTCTTCAGCTAATGGATGTGAGTAATGTTAGATTTACTCATATTTTTCTGACAGTACTGAGTAGCATTTATAATTTCATGCAGTATATTTCTATACCCATTTATTAAATGTTTTCTTAGTTTTACTGTCTATTTCTTTCAGATGAAGTACCACCAACAATTCGATGCCCAGATCCACTGGTAGAGAAATTCAAGGAAGAAACTGACCGCAAATATTGGCAGTTTAGTGTATCTGCATTAGGTATGATTGTAAGTGATGACAGTGGCAGCACTCCCTCTGTTCTGTTCAACCCCCCAGCACTGAACATTTCTGCAGCCTTCGTCAGCCAAGCCAACTTTGTTCAATGGATCACAGCTACTGCAATTGATGCTGCAGGAAATAGGAACACATGCCAATTCCAGGTCATGGCAAAAGGTGAGTATTAAGAAGGAATTGCCTATAATACTTAGCTTGGCATGCCAGGTTCCCTGTAATTAACGAATCCACTAGTCAATAAAAGTTTTACCATCTAGATCAAACGTGAGTTTAAAGTAGAAATAGCCAACAATAATAATCTAGGTATGCCAGATTTCTTTCAGTTAACATGTCCATACAAAATGGTCACTTTAAAGTCGTGTTTTGTCTAGAGATCCAAAGAAGGTTAAATGACCATCATTTCAGTTATAACTTGACAATGTTATTTTGAGATAGGTCAAGTTCTATATCAAGATCAAAGGAAGATTTTAGGATGACATTGCTTCAGCTGAAGCTTATCCATAGTGTCACTATAATGTCAAGTTTCATAGTAGATATCAATCTGGCTATACTTCCATGACAGAGACAAATGGCTCAATTTTAGGCTGGATCCAAGTCAGATTCATATACAATATGTGATGCACAACAATTTATAATTCAAGTTAATCAATGTGTTCTTGGTTATATATACAAATTGTGATTTTTGTCCCTATAAAATGTACCAAGTATTTTGTACAGTCAATATCGAACAACAACCATATATGTCTCACATCACAACTTATGCTGAACTAATGCAAGACCATTTTCATTGGCCAAAGTTAAGCATGGAAGTCATGTGGCCTTGTCATTATGCTGATGAAATCATGAAAAAAGTAGGGGCCCAAATATTCAAATCCTATTATGACAAACTTAAAGGACCGCAGAACCCCTATGGATTTATAAATGCTTGTATGAAGTTATAGCATTTCTGATAGATTGTTTCATTTTGATGACTGATTACCCTTTTTCATACGGAAGTTGATTGGTCCACTCATGAAAAATCTACGTTCAATTTTATTTGAGCAAATGATGTTGTATTCCTTTTTTTTACTTTCAGCTGCCATTTGTTCACCAACGTCCATCCCCAAGCCTGTGAATGGTCAGAAGTCCTGCAGAGCCCTCAGCAATAATGGTGGCTACACATGCGATCTTACTTGTGATGCTAACTACGCCTTCTATGACCAGTCTAGCCAGACAACCGTGACTACTTCCTGTATCACAGGAAGTCCGTTCCCTCAAGCTGTGATTCCTGCATGTTCTTTCACACGTAAGTCACCAGGGAGAGCAGTAGTGTATGGTTTAATTTCTGGGTTGTTTTCTTTTCTTTTCAAAATTTAAAGCTTGACCTTCTGGTTAGTAGGAGAATGATCTTATTCTTCTAACTTCGGTCCCCTGAGGTTCCAACAGCATTTCCTCCTCCAAACCCATATTCACAGTAAACATGTTTCTGCCTTCTGTTTGTTTCAGAATCAGAGACAGCCAAATTCACACAGATCATCAGATTTTCTTATGATGCTAGTACAGCCAGTACTCTGGCAGATACCTGTAAGCAGGGCTATGCTACTATGATGACACCAGTACTTAACAGCCAGAGAACAAGGCTCAATAATTACTGTCTTAATTTACGAGAAGTGCCGACTCTTATTCTCCTTATTGCCAGCCCACAGAATGATATATCCATCAACACAGCTACAAACAAGGTAGGTCAACTACATGGACCTATTGGTTTTCATTGTACTCTGTATCTGAAAGCACAGTTTTTGATTAGTTGGATAAACTGAGTTGCCCTTCAATAAAGCACCACCATAAGGACAGATACGAGGGGTGTTCATTAAAGATTTCCCCTAAACTACTTAGGGTTATCATATTTGGCTGAAATTTGATACATGTATCTATGGGTTATGTCTCAATTTGCAGCACCGAACTATTAATCTTACCACTTTTACAGGTGTTATGATCGAGTAGGGTGTGACAATGGAGCCAGTAGAATACCGAGCAGTGATTAGTTTTTTATATTTGAAAGGTCACACACCAAAAGAAACTTTCAATGAAATGAAAGCAACTTTTGGGGAAGATGCCCCATCATATGACGTTGTTAAACACTGGCATCGCCGGTTCAAGTGTGGTCGGACATCTGTGGAAACAGCTGCCATTCCTGGTCGCCCCCATTCAGTCATTGATGAGGACACTATCCATCAAGAGGAGACCGCCATTTTGGCAGATCGACGTATAACTGTTCGCCAGTTAGCACAAGATATCAAGATCAGTGTAGGGTCTGTGGAAAAAATCATCCATGACAATTTGAACATGCATAATGTGTCTGCACGATGGATTCCCAGGTTGGTCACACCTTTCCAAAAGCAGGAACGAGTCAATTGCTCAAAGGATCTTTTGGACATGTGCCAAAAATACCAGGCAAACTTTTTGACAGACTTATCACACAGGATATAACATGGGTCCATCACTATGATCCTGAGACTAAAGTTCAGTCGATGCAATGGAAGCATGTGGAGTCACCACCCCCAAAGAAGGCACGTGTCCAACCCTCTGCAGGCAAGGTCATGCTCACGGTGTTTTGGGACCAGCATGGAGTAGTGATGATGTATTTCTTGTCCTGTGGCTATGAAATCCTTCCACATCCTCCTTACTCTCCTGACCTTGCACCATCTGACTTCCACCTCTTTCCAACCATGAAGTCATTTTTGAAGGGAAAACGTTTCACAGATGATGAAAAACTGATTTCTGAAGTCAAGTCCTGGTTTGAGACGCAATATGAGGGCTTTTACAAGCGAGGTCTCCATAGTTGCATACAATGATGGGAGAAGTGTGTAACTCTTGGTGGTTCCTATGTGGAGAAAGACTAATACCTTTGCCAAGTTTCATTCCACTAGGTCCATCGGAAGTGGGTCAGGGGAAATCTTAAATGAACACCCCTCGTAGGTCCCCAGTTACCCATGCTTGTCGTAAGAACTGACCCAAGAAAATCTAGTGGTTACACTATGTGGCTTACCTGATTGTGTCATCATGCACTTGTTTGCCTGGCTCAGAATTGATTCGTTACAGGCAGCAGTGATATAACTGTGATGTTAATAAATTTGCTCACTAAATGAGTTGAAGTTGTATTGAATATGTTTTATTGATATGTAATTATACAATTCTTGCAAATACTTTACCTCTATTATATCACTGACATAAATCCTGTATTTTGGCTACAATCACACCAAACTAAACTTTTAGATTTGCAACTGGCATCCTCTTCACTGTCAACTGTAGAAAGTAGTTGTCCCCACAATAACACTTTGCAGCTTACAACTCTTCTGTGCATGAAGGCAGGAAAATCTCACTTCTTTCCAAACATCAGTTTACTACAGACAGATGATTGGGCAGGTAGGAAGGAGTAAATCTGATGTAATGCTGAAAAAAAAGATTCTTGGCTCTCAGGCACCGGCGAATCATCACAAAGTCTGCCTCACGTTTCGTTTTTATTTCCATTTTTAAAAAAAAGAAATCCTTAAATATTCCAAGTCTCGAACACACGACCCCAAAAGTGAAATGCTACAATACTTAAAAACAATGTGATCCAATTTAATGTGCAGTTACTTCCCTTTTCATGCGCACTGCTTTACTGCAAATCTTAACCCCTGTGTATGAATTGTAAATCATCATGTCTTGTGATGTTTTATCGCAAATTTAATGTTTTCAGTGACCAAATTTACAAACAGCAAAACATGCACACAAACTCTTATTGCTGCCATGACCATAACCATGATAACACACGAGATGTGCAGTAAAGCAGTGCGCATGAAAAGGGAAGTAATTAGTAAAATCTAAATATGTTTCACATTTGTGTATTTATCTTGCATTACTCCATATTGCATTCACTGCTGTCTTTTGACAGAGAGAGGAACTGTGTGAGATCCAGCTGCTGCTCCATCAACCACCAGGAGGCAGCACCCCCCTCGCACAGTCGGCACGTAACCGGAAGTCATGACGTCACATCAAAACACATAACTGCTTTGTCACCTCCAGGGATGTACATACCGGTACTTTGTATCCCTTGTGGAAATTAAAGCTTTTTGTTTCTTTATTTTGTGTGTTTCTACATTTATTGTATGCTGTTACATTGTTACTTGTTTATAGGCTGTGACCTTTAGGGTCTTCCCATTCGTAATTTGTACTGGTTTTGGCTACTGCCGATTGGGTCAGTGGGCTCCACGACCTTGACTTCACCCGAGTCATGTTCGAACGCGGTACTCAGGACGCCGTTCATCATGGGCCATGCTGGGACTTTATCATAAAGAATCAACTCCCAGGACAGCCTGATAGATCATTCATTATCCCCTCGCCCTTATCAATTGTGGGTGCCAAGGATGAGGAGGAGTGTTTATTATGCCCAGTAAGGGCACTGAAGGCTTCCTACTACAATCTAAAGCCTGCCGCAAGCCTAGGAAACACCTTTTTTATGCTGGTTCCCTTCGTCACAGTCAGAGGTCAGCCGGAATATTTTTTTTCCTCTGGTTCCAGGCCGCCGGATTGGACCCTCCTCTAAGGCTATCAACCCACACGAGATCAGGGAAATCGTATTTACCATGCCTTTTCACAGTATAACTGTTCCATCCAGTCGCTCATGGAAAGCTGTTCTTGGCGATCGGTCACCGCCTTCGCCAGCTACTACCTCCGTGATGATACAGCCTTGGAAGATGTCCCTGGTTGTAGCCCATCAGATCACCAATCACCGACACCACTGATTCTCCGATACCCTGAGTGGGGCCCGACGACCTTCCTGATGAAGTAAGACGAGTTCTATGGATGAACAACTTCTTTATTACAATTAGTGCGACGTTTCAGTGTAGATCCTAACACCTTTATCAAGCAAGTGATGTGCTTGATAAAGGTGTTAGGATCTACACCAAAACGTCGCACCAATTGTAATAAAGAAGTTGTTCATCCATAGAACTCGTCTTACTTCATCACTCCAACTTCTAAATGCCACTCAAAGAAGACCTTCCTGATGTTTATCACCCCAGACAAGAGGGCTCTACTGCTTCGCATTCGCTCTTAGGTCAGTTCTAGTTTTTGGCTACCCGTCTCATTCTATTTCTGTCACCTTTTCAGGTTTTACTTTTTGCATCGACTCTCTTCCTGACGACAGGAATGGTAGTAGATGTTGACACCGACGCTGACGCCAACGCCTCTGATTCTCCAATACCCTGAGCGGGGCCCATCGACATCATTGGTGTTCCTCACCTCCAGACAAGAAGGCTCTCCTGCGTTCTGCATTCGCCCATGAGAATGGTTGTAGGTATTGCCGCCGCCGCCGCTGATTCTTCGGTACCCCGATCAAGGCCTGTTGAACTCTCTGGTGTTTATTACCTCAGATTAGAGGGCTCTACTGCGTTTCACTTTCGCTATTAGGTATGTTCTAGTTTTTGGCTACTCGCCTCATTCAATTTCTGTCACCTATTCATGTTTTTCCTTTTTGTATCGACTCTTATTTCCTGAAGACAGGAATGGTCGTAGATGTTCCGATCATCATTTGTATGCGGTGCCGATTCATCGGACCTTGACAAGGGTTTACTATGGATCACATCTGAAGGTATGCCTACCAGCCATGCCATCTGATAAAAATGCAGGATAAGTTAAAATATTTCGTAAAATCTAAATATTTTTTACATTTGTATTATGACATCTAAGTTAAAGCAGTTATGTGTTTTGATGTGACGTCATGACTTCCTGGTCACTTGCCGACTGTGCGAGGGGGGTGCTGCCTCCTGGCAGTTGATGGAACAGCAGCTGGATCTCACACAGTTCGTCTCTCTGTCAAAAGACAATATGGAGTAATGCAGGATAAGTATACAAATGTGAAACATATTTAGATTTTACTAATTACTTCCCTTTTCATGTGCACTGCTTTACTGCACATCTCATGTGTTATCATGGTTATGGTCATGGCGGCAATAAGAGTTTGTGTGCTTGTTTTGCTGTTTGTAAATTTGGTCACTGAAAACATTAAATTTGCGATAAAACATCACCAGACATGATGATTTACAAATTCAATGGTATTTGTGTACTGTATGCGGGACAGTCTTTCATACGCAGAGGTTAAGATTTGCAATTACATGTTTATTTGTCTCTTAAAATAAGTGGGAAATGCTAATTTATATACCCCGTCTATATAGCGAATCGGAATGAAGCACATGAACAGTGCCTACATTTGTGATAAAAACCTGTTTGTCTTCCACAGAAAAAAATTACATCGTATCCCTTCAGCGAATTCAGGAAAACGAACAGATTTATAACAATTAAATTTGGCCAATACAAAATTTGAAATAAATCACATGATAATTAGACATGATGATTTACCGATTAAATTGTATTTCCTGTTCTGATTGCCATTGTTTTATATGCAGAGATAAAGATTACCGCGTGTCTTGTCTCGTAAACCAAGCCGGAAGTGATTCGGTCAAACATTCCCCAGTTATATAACTTTAAAGAATTTTGATACAATGAGCAGAAGAATTGTATCTGAAACTATTATTTTATCAGGAATAATTTATTCCGATATCATGTTAGTTGAAGCTTTACTATATACATGTGAAATAAATTAATAACCTTAAGCATAACCGTTTGGTTCAGCTGATCGCTATTGCTGGATATTTTTTTCGTATGGAAGAAGTTGACCAATCACCGTCAATCCTTC